GACGAGGCACCATTGAACCTACCAGAATGATGAGGCCTCTTGTCAAACCCCTGACCACTCCCCTGAGCTAGAACCATCTCAACCCGCCTAGCCACATTGGCCGCATCCTGGAAAGAAATCTCGCTCCCTGTCTCCTTAGCCATCTGCAATCGAATAGGCTGAGCGAGTCCCTCAATGAACCTCCTCACTCTCTCTCTCTCTCGGTGGGGAGTGTAAGAAGAGCATGACGAGCCAAATCAACAAATCTAGTCTCATACTGGGTGACAGTCATAGAACCCAACTGGAGGTGCTAAAACTGCCTCCGATAATCCTCTCTCCAGGTAATAGGGAGAAACTTCTCCAAAAATAGCTGAGAGAACTAATCCCACATCAAAGTAGGCGACCCAACTGGTCTGGCCAAACAATTATCCCTCCACCACTTCTTGGCGGAACCTGACAGACGAAAAGCAGCAAAGTCGACCCCATTGGTCTCCACTATCCCCATATTCCGGAGAACCTCATGACAACTGTCCAAATAATCCTGGGATCCTCTAAAGATGTACTGCCATAAGTAGTAGTAAAAAGCTTGGTGAACCTGTCCATCCTCCACAAGGCATCAGCAGACATAGCTGACCCATCACCGTTTGTGCTACAACACCCGGCTGAACTACCCCAACTGGCTGAGCTGCTGGAGTCTGAAACTGGGGAGCCATCTGCTCCAGAGTGCGAGTAGCAGGAGTCTGGGCTCCTCCTCCTGCCTGAGAGACGGCTGGTGCTACAGGAAATATTCCTGCCTGAGTGACACTCTCCATAAGGCCCACTAGACGGACCAAAGCATCCTGGATTATCGGGGTGGTGATGAACCCCTCTGGAACCTGAGCTGGCCCTGCTGGAACGGAACCTCATCCTCAAACTCTACCTGAGGCTCCGCCGCTGGTGCTACTGCTCGAGCTCTGGGCTGAGCCCTGCCCCTGCCTCGGCCTCTAGCACGGCCTCGGCATCTGCCCCTCGTAGGAGCTGCCACTGGGGGCTCGGGCTACTAGTCAACTGATGAAGCTGTACGTGTTCTTACCATCTGCGAAAGAACAGAGTGGAAGTTCAATGAGTACTGAGAAATCAAGTCGTATGACAGGAAAGAATAGATGTGAAGTTTTCCTAAACTCTGTAGCCTCTGGGGATAAGCACAGACGTCTCCGTACCGATCCCTCAGACTCTACCTAGCTTGTTCGTGAATTGTGAGACCTAGGCAACCTAGTGCTCTGATACTAACTTGTCACGACCCGGATTTCCCACCCTCGGAAATCGTGATGGCGCATACTGGTGAAAGCTAGGCAAGGCGACAGTTACAATTTTACCATAATTATTATTAATCAACCAGAAAGCACATAATAGCTAAAACGAAATAACTATAAATGCGGAAGTGATATAACAGTGCAACAACCCTAGTACATAACTACCCCAACAATCTGGTGTCACAATCCACAAACGACTAAGATTTACTACAAATATAAGTCTGAAAGAAGTACAACTGTTCTCGAAATAGAAGAGACAGGAGAAACTTAAACGGGGAAAGGGGACTTCAGGCTCTACGAATGCCAGGAGATCTACCTTGGTCTCCCTGGACTGAATATAGCAACCTCAAAGCTACTCACAATGTCCGGCACCGAAATCTGCACAAAAAGTGCAGAGTGTAGTATCAGTACAACCGACCCCATGTACTGGTAAGTGTCGAGCCTAACCTCGGCAAAGTAGTGATGATGCTAGGATACGACAACCATATAAACATGTGCAGTTAAATCATATACGAGCAGAACAATAATAACAGAAGAATAACAGAAAAAGATGGGAAGGGGAACATGTTGCGGGGAATATCAAGTTCTGACAGTAATCCAACAGATAAGCATAATAAACACCATATTTGGATCAACATGAATAATGAAATAGTAAAACGTGCACGGCATCATCCTTCGTGCTTTTAATCTCGTCCTCACAATAAGAAACAACAGAAACGGCACGGTATCACCCTTCGTGCATTAACTCTCATAATCATGGCACGGCATCAGCCTTCGTGCATTAACTCTCGAATCATGGCATGGCATCACCCTTCGTGCATTAACACTCACAATATCGGCACGGCATCACCCTTCGTGCATTAACACTCACTCACAATATCGTGCACAGCATCACCCTTCATGCTTTACTCTCATCCTCACCCAACAGTAGAAACAATACATCCCGACAAGGGAATCAACAATAACCAATTTCATTTCAACAATTAACTTCACAAAGTAACTCTCAACTTGAATCAATACTCAACAATGATCAAATACTCGGCAATATCATAAGACTTGCTCAATATAGAGAAACATCATTTTAAGCATGAACAACACATGATAAGAGGCATAACGGTCACAATATAAGACTCACTTGCATGCTCAACATCAACGTATAGATACTCGTCACCATGCCTATACGTGGAACTCAATACTAACACGTAGCAAATAAGACAACAACACCTATTCCCTCAAGCTAAGGTTAGACCAAACACTTACCTCGATTCTACGGCCAAAATCAAGCCTCAATTACCGCTTTACCTCTCGGTTCCACTTCCAATCCGCTTGAATCTAGTCATAATTTACTTAATGACATCAATAAACGCTAAATAAACCAATTTTAATGCATGAGTATAGATTTCCCAATATTTTCCCCAAAAAGTCAATACTCGACCCCGGGCCTGCTTAGTCAAAACTCAAAGTTCGAACCAAAACCCGATTACCCATTCACCCACGAATAGGGATGGGCATAAAATCTGAAAAACCGAATTCCGAACTGGACCGAATTAATTCGGTATTTCGGTCTAATTCGGTATTGCAATTTCGGTATTTCTGTACGATCCTCGATATTAGAATTCTGAAATACCGAAATACCGAAATTTAAAAGACATTTTCTTAACCCAGCCCATCGCCCCAGCCCCAACGCCTAAGCCCAAACGGCAAACCCTTCTTTATTTAATTCCCAGCAGTGCCCCAGCCCATCGCCCCAGCCCAACTGCCCAAGCCCACTCTAAACTCTAAAGGTTAGCTCGTTAGGGCATTAGCATTTAGCAATTTAGAGTACAGTATAGTTGAGCGGCGATTTGGCGATTTGGCGATTTCCGACTTCCTGGTGATTTCCGTCTTTCGAGCTCCGACTCCTCACTCCTCAGTCCTCACTCCTCACAAATTCCGGGCAAACGAAGACGCTGCTGTTGTGACTTGCGAACTTGCGAATTGTGAGTTAGGCAGAATTGGTATTTGGTCAATTGGCAGATTTGAATTGTGGTTGTTTGTGACTTGTGAGTTAGGAAGAATTGGCAGCTTTGAATTGTGCAATGTGCAGTGCACTTTGAATTTGCAGATATGTTAATATCGTTGTGTAATGTGTAGTTGTGTTCAGATTCAATTTGATTCTTTCAACTTTTGCTTTTCAGTTATTTCTCGTATGATATACTGGCGTGCAGATTGTAAAGAACTTGTTCAGCTTTTGCTTTTCAGTTATTCAATTGTGCATGTGCACTGTTATATATCGGAACAGATTCTTTCACAGTGAAAGTTTCACTCGTTAGTCGTTACTGACTTAGTGTTGCCTACAATTGTGGTGGACTGTTGCTTACACCTTACTGCTTAGTATTGAATTTAGCATTGCTTATTCAGCGATTATTAAACCGAAACTGTACCGAAACCGTACCGAACCAAAATAAGAAATACCGAACCGTACCGAATATTTTGGTATGGTATTTGGTATACACAATTGATAAAACCGAATACCGAAATACCGAACCGAAATTCTTAAATACCGAACCGAAATACCGAATGCCCACCCCTACCCATGAACCCAAATATGCAATTGGTTTTGAAATCCGACCTCAATTTGAGGTCCAAATCCCCAAAATTTGAAAATCCTAATTTCTACCCAAGAACACCCAATTTCCCATGAAAACCCCAAGATTTTGAAGTGAAATCATGTAAAAAGATGAAATAGATTGAAGAAAAAGAGTTAAGATTCATTTACCTATGATTTGGGGGAAAACTTGCTCTAGGGAAATCGCCCTTTGGAGTTTAGGTTTTGAAATTTTGAAGAATGAAGTGAAAATTCCGTCCAAGACCCCTTTTACTCAGCTGCAGATGTCGCATTTGCGACAGGAGCTTCGCAATTGCGAGATAGGCTTCACAAATGCGAACCTGCTGCAGGGTCTGCTGCTGTCGCAATTGCAAACAGTTAGTCGCAATTGCGAAGGTTGACTTTCTTGTTGACTTCGCAAATGCGAAGGAAGTGCTCGCAAATGCGAACTAATGCTGGCCAGGGCTTCTTCGCAATTGCGATCTAAAAATATCATACGGACTTGCTCGTGCAATCAAATCGCCAAAATAACATCTTAAACAATGAACTTAACACCAAAACTCATGGAATTCATAAGATAGTTCAAATTTTCCATTTTCTCAACCAAGGGTCCGAATTACATCAAATCTCTTCCGTTTTTCGTCAAATTTTACAGATATGACTTAAATATTATAACGGACCTGTACCGAGCTCCGGAACCAAAATACGGGCCCGATAACATCAAGTTCCAACACTATTCAATTTCTAAAAACCTTTATATTTTCCAGCAAATAATTTTCTTTAAAAATTCTTTTCTCGGGCTAGGGACCTCAGAATTCGATTTCGGGCATACGCCCAAGTCCCATATTTTACCACGGACCTTACGGGACCGTCAAATCACGGGTCCGGGTCCGTTTACCAAAAATATTGACCGAAGTCAACTTTAATCAATTTTAAAGGCCAAATTCAATATTTTTCTTAAATTTCACATAAAAGCTTTTCGGAAACGCGCCCGTACTGCGTACGCAAATCGAGGAGAAAAAAAATAAGATTTTTAAGGCCTCAAAACCCGAATTCGAATTCTAAAACAAAATCATCAGATTGGCCAAAAGCGAGTCCGATCGTGATCATGTTATCTCTACTACTTCCAAAGTAATTAAAAATCAATAATTAAATAAGTCAAATGAAAGTGCAAAACAGAAAAGAAGAAGAAAATAGATCAAAGAAATCTGAGTCTTTGACTTTCTTCAATCACGTTTCATTGTCTCCTCCATTTGTCATCTCAAAGATTCAACTCAACTTCCCCTAAAACAAAGGCTCTTTCCACTTCAATCTCACACCCAAAAATCTAGCAATTTTCCACTCTGATTATTGTCCTTTATTTCTTGTCAAACAAGAAATGATGATTTTGAGAAGTAATGCACTATTTCTTGTTCTAATCTTGGGGTTTTCGTTGACCCAAATTCAGTCTCTACGATTTGAAATAGAATCAGGTCATACAAAATGCATATCTGAAGAAATCAAAGGCCATTCCATGACTGTAGGAAAATATCATATCATTAACCCAAATGATGGCCATCCTTTGCCTGATACCCACAAAGTCACCGTCAGGGTAAATATTTACTTTTTTTTGTTGTTGTTGCAATTTTCATAGATTTAATGAGCTAGGAAACAAATGGGATTATTTTGTTTTTTCCAATTAGCAATTGGTTTTACTTGATTGGAGCTTCATATGGTGCAATGGAAGAAAAAAAAATATTTTAATGTAATTTTTAGTATAAAAATCTTATTTTTAAGATAATTTAAGAATTTTGTTGTTCGAGTTTCCACAAAATTTTAAATGTGTTTGATTTTTTAAGACTAGTAGAAGTATTTTAGCTTTTTATGATAGATGTGACGGTTAAAGCTATGGATTTTCCTGCATTTTCTTGATGGGATATGCTAAATCGCTTAAAGCTTCATTTGGAAATTATGGTTGGTCAAGATTTGTCCAGCTGATTCGCGTTGACTCTGTAGTCATCGGCTAAATTCGGAAGATTAGTTAATAAGTTCTGTTTGTTTTACAGTTTTATGCACTTCCAATCTATCAAGAATGGAATGTGTTCTAATATTATTCAGACAATCAGTCAACTATGCTTCACTTCCAAATTAGTTGGTGTCTACTATATGAATCTTTTGTATTTAGTTACATTGTATTCGGGTCTTAAGGTAATTGTTCTGATGGTTTCATATTCAAAGTTTAAAAATTGTCCTTGTTCTTCGATATACCTTACTTTGATTATCTGGATTTCTTCTGGTTTAGATGAGACAATATCTGTTCTTTGTTTTTTGTGCTTTAGGCAACATCTGAACATGGAAATAGCTATCACTATGCGGAAAATGTCCATGAGGGGCATTTTTCTTTTGAGACTGTGGAAGCTGGGGATTATCAGTCTTGCTTTGTTGCTGCTGATCACAAGCCTCCGGTTAAGTTGACTGTTGATTTTGAGTGGAAAACTGGTGTTGCAGCTAAGGATTGGACAAATGTTGCCAAGAAAGCCTCTGTTGAGGTAAGCCCTCAATTTTTCTTTTTATCTGTCTATCTTTTGGTTTCAAGAAAATTAATGGCTATTTATAGCAATATAGCTCCGCATGCATTCTACAATTCGTAGTGTAAAATAGACCGTTCAGCCAGAACTCCTAAATCTCCGTGAACTTTTCACGTTTAGCTTGTTTAATAGAAGTATCATAATCCATTTGTGAAACGATCAATATTGCATCTTTTAGCACAGTTGATCCTGGCTACTTTCAACCTTTTGGGAGCCGAAACTTCAAAAAAGAAAAGAACGAAATGATTGGTTCAGAAAGTTTGGGGGCTTTCTTCTTTGATCAGTATGGTATCAGATTTTTTGGGGTTCTCTTGTGCTGTTAAGTAATTCGCAATTCCTTTTGTATAGACGCTCCCAACTAGCATGGTTGAGGTGTAGAGCTTTAGTTGATTAAGAATGAGATTAAAGTATATCTTTACAGAACTGTATGACTTAGATAGAGAATGTGATTGCCCAAGGCTTATTACTTAATAATTAAAAAGAACTTCTAAGTAATTCCTTTTTTCACAGGAAAGAGGAAATGAGTTAGAAATAAAGAGGTCCTCGCCTGAGAGATAATTGGTGACTCCTATTAAGTGTTGTTCTAATGGTTGTATTCTTTCATCAAAATAGATGTACTTAGATAATTTATAAGAAAAAAGATATACTTAGATAAAACCATGTCACATGTTCTAATTTCTTAATGAACTACAATTAAAATTTCAAGACATCATTGTGTATTGGCTGTTTCTTAGTTTTGTTCATCTCTATATGTAAAGTGTAAGCTTCAAAAACCAAAGTAATTTCCTGTTCTTGGAAAATATCGAGTGATTTATTTTTAAATTTACAAATTAAAATCGTCAGCATTTCACTTATTATTATAGTTAGTATTCCCTGATATCTTAGGCCAAATATTTGGAGCAACTTAGAACTAGTATTTTTAAATAAAAACAAATTTATAGCGTTTGTAATGTGGTGTATAACGTACATGGATTGTCTAAAAAGTACAGTTTGGTATCTTTAAGGGGTTATGTGGTCCTTATTTTTGTATTTAGTACATAGGGTATAATATTTTAGGAAAATAGCTATAATTTGCAACTTTGCCGTTTCATTAACCAACAGCACCACATGTTTTCATCAAACTCCAACTCTTAGGCATCACTGAAGAGGTATGCTAAGCATATTTCATAGATTAAGACTAGGCTTTCTTTAAAAAAAAAAAGAATAATTCATTAAGAGCAAATTAAAAAAGGAATATTGGTGTCCTCAAATTGACTTCGCAACTAGGTGCACATATTTTTTTCTTCATATTCTTGGGATAGATCCTTTGATGTATCATTTTTAGTTTTTTACAGCTGCCATTTTTTCACTCTGCTCTCTTGTTGACTCGAACTCCTGGCCTCTTGGTGTATGTGGAGGGACCTTCCACTAAGCTATTCCTCGCTTGTCACTAGCTATCTAACTATTTTATCACGCGCAACAGGATTATATTGTTTAGCTTCGATTTCGATAGCTCAATGCTCATATTAACTCCTAGATGGTGAGCTTTTATCTTCTGGCTGGTGCGGTGGTAAGAAAACAAAAATCTGAAGTTCCTCAACACAGGGTGTTGAAATCCATTGATTGTATTAGTTTGCAATACTGCAGCATGAAGTTGACATACTGTTTATTCTATGCTGTCTATGCATTTCATGTGAAGTGCCATCATTGACTAAAAGTCTAAAAGCATCCCGCCAATGCTTTGTGTAACCTTTTAAGACTGATTATGCTGCGTCCTCCTCGCCCTTGAGAAATAGAAATGATGACTCAGTTGTAGTTGAACATGTGACCATCTCTTAAAGCTTGTATGTGTGCTTTCTTGCCTTTAGTTAAGTTAATCGTCTGTTATTCAAAAGTTGCTGGCAGAATTATTGGTCATGTTTTAAAAGTTGTGTTGAGGTACATCACTCTTGTTATATGTAGTTGGTGAAATGTGTCCTAAAACGAGGGGTAGGGGCTGGGGAAGTGTGGAGCAGAAGAAAAGAGCACCTCCTGGTTTTTTAATATGAATGTGATGACAACATGTTCTAAAGATGAATGGAGAGACATATAATGTTTTTTCATCTCTGCTGTTACTAGGCAATGGAGTTAGAACTAAAACATATGGCTGAGACTGTCCAAGCCATCCATGATGAGATGTTTTATCTCCGAGAAAGGTGAGTTTATTCTTATGTTTTGTTATTTATCCGAGCCTCGTGAATATATGCTAATAATAACTAAGTCGACGATGGTGCAGGGAAGAAGAAATGCACGACCTTAACATATCTACCAACGATAAAATGGCTTGGATGACTGGTCTGTCCATTCTTATATGCTTGTCTGTGGCAGGTTTGCAGTTCTGGCATTTGAAGACTTTCTTTGAAAAGAAGAAGCTTATCTGAATCATTCTGATTTTATGGTACTCCATTTTCCGTGTATAACTTTTACATAGACAACATAGTTAAAAGATTGACTCAGTGTGATGTATGGTTTAATTGGGAATACACTCATTGATCAATTATCAAGCAATCAATTATTTCTCAACCTAAAGTTAGTTGGAATGAATAATATGAAAGATTTTGTTATTGCTGTTGTTGTTAAAAAAGTACGCTTGATAGGACAGTAAAATAGGGAATATTTATGGAACTTTAAGTGCCAATTGAAAAGAAAATGTAAATTCAAATTTCATTTCACAGCCCTTAAGTTAGTTGTGACGTCTAACATGATGCGTCTACGCAATTCGCAGAGCAGCAGTTTAGACATGTCTGTGCTTGTTAGAGCTACGCATTAAGCAACAAAGGTGGTTGCCGCTAGACACAGTTTATTTATCTTATGCATGTTACTGAATTCAAAGAATGATTGGGTAACCTTTCCATTTTCTGCAATGGAGGTAGGGGGTGGCAATTTAAGCCTAAACCCATTCAACCCGTTCAATCCGCTCAAGGTTGGGTTGATCATTGACCCGTCCATTGTTGAACTCAGCTCATTTAACCCAATCCATCTCAACTCACCTAAAGTTAGGCTGATTTTTAGCCTAAATTGATCCATGAGCAATTTTGGTAAAATATCTTGAAAATATTTTTTTTGTTTGATATATATATATATATATAAACAATTTATATATAAGAAGAAGAAGAAGAAGAAGAAGAAGAAGAAGAAGAAGAAGAAGAAGAAGAAAGTTTTTGATGGTAATTAAACAATTTATAAGAAAACAATACACATTAATTAAAGCTTAGTAAAAGTTGGATGGGTGGGCTATAACCAAATTTAACTTATCTTGACCTACCCCTTACAGCCCAAGTAACTTTTGGGTGGGTCATTGATCCGCCAAAAAACAACCCAACCCGACCATTTGACACTCATATTTGGAGGTCAAGGGTCAAGCTCCAAGCTTTAAAAGTTGGGAAAAATTTTCATAAAGCACTATCTTTTAGTAGTAATTAGCCATCTATAGATACCATTTGCTATATTACGGATTATAGATACCTTTTTTGTGGTTATAAGATGTATTTGATGTATTTAAGCTATTGTATTCATGAATACAGTATCAAAAATAGGCGTGAATCAGGGAAGTCCAGCTAATCAGTTGTTGTATTCGAGTGTATTCATGGAGTGAAACATGGGATTACAGCTGGACAGATTATTGTATTTGATTGTATTCGACTGTATTCACGGCGTGAAATAGGGGATTATAATTTTTTTAAAACGGAAAATGAATCAATTAACATAATAGACTCCTAATATAACTCAACAAACTCAATTATAACACACAAATTTTTTATTTTCAGTTATAAAAAAGATTCTCAACCGAAAAATATCCCAAAAACATAGCAATCTTCAGAGAAATTATATAATACATCTGAATACATAAATTATATTAATTAAAAAAAAACATATGAATACATTCATGGCATATAGCGAGACGGTGAATACAATGAAATACATAGAATACAGCGGGATACATTAAAATACAATGAGAAAAAAAGACAGTTAATACAATGAAATACATAGAATACAACGAGATACACTGAATTACAATGGAAAAAAAGACAATGAATGCAATGAAATACATGAAAATACAACATGATACGTTGAAAATATATTGAAATATATTAACAGAAAATCAAGTTGCTCAGCCCCAAAATCCGTCGTCTTTGTTCAAGAACAAACCCTAATTTCCGGCGAATCCGCCGTCGAGCAAAAACCCTGAATCTCACTTCCCACGCATCCTGTACATTGCTTCTGACACATGTTTGAACCAACGATAACCATTTTTGAATGATTTCTTGACTTTTCCTTCCATGGAATATTTCTATATTTGGTCACCCTCTTCTTCCTTTTAAGCTCCGGCGTTGAATACCATGGCCGATTTTCTGGTATTTGATAGTTACTGGATTTTGAGGTTTGGTATTTGTGAGAAGGCATCATATCCGTCTACGTTGTCGTCGCCAAGAGAAGTGGTGGTCGGTCAATGAATCCGGTATTATTTGGAAGAGAGAATGACATGTATCAAATTAGAGAGAGAAATAAAATAGTGTAACTGAATAGCGTATTTAGTGGCTTAGGGCTAGGAGGTACCAAAATTAGATATTTTGCTATAAACCTTAAAAGGTATCTATAGAATATAATTTTTTTAAATGGTATTTATTTAAAATAAATAAGGTGTTAACCTTTGCTATAGGAGGTAAAAATTCCTTAAAAGGTTCCGCTCTTTAGCCCAAAACTCATTCCTAAACAAATGTATCCAATTCAACGTCGACCAAAATTCACCTCAGCAGGCATCTGTATAAGCGATATTTCTCCAACCCAAAGAATGATAATATTTCAATAGATCATAAATTCGTCAAATTGTTAAATTCTTGCTAAACGTATTTTGACTTGTGGTTAAGTTTATGGTAACTCTACTGTTTACGGGTAAAATCGGAGGGGTAGGGGGGGGGG